CTACTGTATACAAAGCAGTACTTTCTAGAATATTAAATATATACTTAGTATGTAAATCAACTCTTTAAGTAGGATTCTTACCCAAGATACATTTTCCACAAAGACTTGTAAAGGAATATGCATTGCAATTCTATTATAATGGCTTGATGTTGTAGTGAAACAGTTGTGTGTCAGGTGATGGATAACAAAATCCATACCATGGAACACTAGGCATTCGTTAAAAGAAACAACTAATTCATGCCGAATATCGATGACCCTCGGAAACGTCATGGTAAGTGAAAGAGGCCTGACACAGAATAACACATATGGTGTACTTGCATCTTATAAGGTTTTGGAACAAGGTAAACCTATACAGACAAAAAACAGAGGAGGCTTGTTTGTGGTTAGAGGGGCAAACAGGAGCAGAACTACAAACACGGAAAGGGAACTTCACAAGACTAAAGATACATTGTCAAACTGGAAAAGCTTGATGGTTTCATAACTTTGTATGTTTGATATAATCCACTCAGTATACAAATATAATGGCCAAGTTTTATGTTATATAAATTATATCTCAAGAAATCTATAAAAAAAAGAACATCAAATGGGACACCCAGTCATAGGCATCAACTCAAAATTATGACATTTCTTTTATGAGAACAGAAACAGGATAGGTTTACTAGAAAACGTGCTGACTAGAAGCAGGACAGGTTTCTGGGATGCTGGTAACACTGCATTTGTTGATCTAACTGGTGACAGTTACATGGCAAACCTTATTAAAACACAGGACTTAAAATGTGCAGACTTCCCTATAATGATGCTGTGATTTAATTAATATTTCACAGCATTAAAACAAAAAAAAATCACTCTTTTTTGAAGCAGGAATCTTACCGTGATTTATTCCTCACATTTCCTCAAAATATTAACTCTCATTATTTGAGGATGTCCATTAATGAAGCTGGTGATGATGACAGATAATACACACAGCCAAAACGAAGGAAAAAAACCTGATCAGCTCATTCTCAAATGCTCTTTTAGAAATCTATGTTCTATATTTTCCTTCACACTAGTAAGTGAACAGCAGGGACTGGGACAATGGGGCAGCACCAGACTACGGTTCTCAAGAGCCAGCCTGACTTTGGAGTTCACACAGTCTCCATGCTGCCACCATTTCCCTTACACCAAACATTGTCCTCTCAACTCTACCTACATCACCAAATTGTTGTGAAGACCACATGGGATGAAGTTTCCCAGGATGATTTCCCGGAAATTCAGTGTCATCCAAGGCCACTTCTTGGTTTTATTAAGAGCAGCAGATATGTGAGTTAGAAAAATTAGCTCTCAGAGGTACAGCTTTTCAAATTGAGGTTATAATGAGTTCCTTGGAAAACACCTTATCTTCAAATGCTATGTTTCTCCATTTGCTATAGAAATGGGTTCTCTCACAATCTGCAGACCAGGCTCGAATTTGCTATGACCCTAGTGGCAGCATAATTCTGCAGAGGAATTAGTTCCAGCCTCCACACACCAATGGATAATGCATATCTTGCCATGGATGAAACTCCATGGGCTAAGGGGGTGACAGAGGAAGCATGGCAAAAGCATTCCCTTGTGGTGATTCAGTAAATGATTTGAGAGGTAAGGAGTTAGTGTTTGGAAGCCCAGCCCCTTCGCATGAAAGTTCCCCGCCTGCCATCTTACGGAGGGTGCTCCTTTGCTGAGAATAACAATAACGTTGGTGGTAGCTAATATTTCTCAAATACTAGGAGCCATGCACTGTACCCAACATTTCTCTCCTGTTTTCTTGTAATTGATCTTCTACAGTGAAACTGCAAAGGTAAGATTTACTTAAACAAGATCAGGTCATTCCAATGTCTGTGCATCTTGAGAGTCTCTGCTGCATTTCAGAGTAAAACTGTCCTGCTCTGCTATTTGCCCACAAGGCCGGAGGTGTCTGCCTAGGTCCCTCTTGACCTTGACATGGCCCGCACTCCCCACAGCTTACCTCCCTCCAGCCGGGCTGCCTTTTCTCTTTCTCGCAGGGACACTCTCACTTTTAACTATCACGAAATGCAATCCCTTTGCTTCCTCCTTCTTCAGAAAGAAGCACTTCCTGACTGACTTCTCTGAAATGTATTCAGAACTGTTCAATCACTTGCCCAAGACACTTAGCAGCATGGCGATCATTTGAATGTAAAACTTTCCAAAATGAGGACTGAAAAAAAGTGTCATTGAAGTGATCAAAATATGGCTTTATCTTTTTCCTAACAAGTTAAATGGAAAAGATCTCAGTTTTCAGTTCAAGCTAAAATCCTTTTGACTCAGGTTTCTTTTTGAGTCCAGAAAGAACTAAAATTCTTATAATTAAGTAAGACCACATTAAAGTGAGAGAAGAGAAAAAGTTAAGAAAAGAGATGAAAGTGAAGAAAATTTTATATCTTGCACCTGTCAGGACAGCTGTATTATTTCTTTCTCATTAAATTCATTGTTGGTCTAATGCCAGCTCACTCCATCAAGCGGGGCCTCTTAGACATCGGAAACCACATCCACATAGTACTTAATAACAAACGATAGCGGCAGAAATGAAATTTCCACTGAGAAATACTTAGAAACTTCCTAGTTGAAGTTTTCTAGGAGCAGAGGGTCACCCGCTAAGATAATTGCTAATTAAGACTGGCCAGCAGTCCAGGCAAGAAGCCACACCTGGACCCCCATGTTGCTGCGGATCGGCCACTGATTAGATTCGATTAGATTCCTGATTCTTGATTAAATGTCACCAAAATGATTAACTGATTATTCCTCAGACCTTTCTACGAGAGCTCCCACTTCAGCATTCTCAGGTACGGCCCGTGAATTTCATAATTCTTTTTGGCATAAAGCCAGCTTGGAGAAAGTCTCCAGACTATTTTTTCTTTCTTTTCTAGCAGCCTTCTTCAGCTGCTGCTCAACTAGGCTAATCTTTCTAAGCTAAAGACACAACTTGGTTGATAGACTAGTCCCTCAGTCGCCTTAGCTGTCTCTAAAAATATTCAGGTAACAATGCTTTTGACAGATAATATATACTGCAAATTATGAGAAATCTGGGAGACAGAACAGTTAGGCTTCAAGGATCACACTCTAGCTCTTACAGCAGTGCCACCTGGGGCAAGGACTTCACCGCTCTTTCATATCTCTCATCTATAAATGGAGAATAACAGTATCTGTCTTTAAATGAAATTACGAATGTTTTCTCTATCATAAATATTTCTTAAATGAGCCCAATAAAGATTACAGACAACATCCTCTGCCCACACTTAACCTCTCCCAGTAAACTGCCTAGGAGTATGTGCATTTTCTTCCTAAAGGGAGTTCTGAAAAAGCAGAGATCTTCCTAGCCTGACATGAACTAACTCTGATAATTCACCCTAGTTAATCCTGAAAAATGTGAGTTTTATCAACTGGAGGCACAGTAGGAGGAACTACTAATCAGGAAGTCTTTGCTGATGCGCTGCTCTATGTACTCTCTCTATATAAATTCATTTAATCCCCCTAGTCCCAGTGAAAGCACTCCTAAGACTGGCAGGGCAGCAGGCAAACTCCAGCCATAGTCATCTGACCCCAGAGCGAGTCGACGTAAGCCTCTCCTTGAGTCCTTATGTTCCCATCCACCCAGGCAAGCCCTGTACTTCAGATATTTTAGGCATCCTCTAAAAACATTATCATTTTCCCCTTCCCGGGTTTCTACCAGCATAGTAGGTCATAAACATGACATTATTCTATATTTTTTAAAAAATGAAAGGACAACAATAAAACAACTCACTTTAAGCCATTTTCCTCTATCAACCATCACTCCAGGAAGAATTTTCTGCAATAGCCCCTCCTTTGAAACGCTCTCCACTTCTCTCTTCGGCCCCCTGCATCAGTCAGCTTTCCTGTCGCTAAGACAAAAAACTCCACATCCCTACCTAAAAGGGGAGAGGTGTAATTTGGCTCACACTCAGCCCCCAGTTGTCCGGTTTCAAGACCAAAATAACATGGAACAAAGGTGCTTAGTTCCTGGCAGCTGAGAAGCAGAGCAGGGGAAGAGGGGCACAGCAGAGGGGGCCAGTGAGCGAGGACCCCCAAGGCCACACCTGGAAGTGTGCTCCACCCTTCCCCAGTGCCGATCACCAAAACCGCCCCCCGACTCCAGGCAGGCCCCCTTCCAGACCTTGTAACCAATCTTACATTTAAGATCACTATTGCCTGGTTCAGGCTGCTAAACATGGCGTTTCATTCTCCTCTCTCATCTTGTATCATCAGTGGCATTTGAGACCTACTGGGACCCACTGCTTGTGCTTCTACCCTGTGCTGCTGCTCTATCTCCTCCCGACTCTCAAAATGTGGTGTAAGCCATTCTTGGTCCTCTTTATTTTCTTCTCTAGATGCAGTCTCCTGCAGATTCCATCTATATTAGTGTATACACATCATCTCACCTACATGATGATAACTGCTAAATGTCTCTTTCCGTCCAAACCTCCTTCCCAACTCTTAAACTGTGTCCTGCTATTCTGGGAGGTTCCAGAATTCTTCCTGTCTTTTTCTGTGCACCCTGAGTTGACTGCCCCTAGTGCAGCTCCTGTGCAGCTCACCATATTATATTAGAAAAGCTCATAAGCCATTTTTCTGGGGTCTTCCGGGTTCACTGAAGACCATTCATGAATTAAGGAGTCCCCAGCCTAGAAATGGCAACTGTTCTCTATAGTTGAAGGGAACGAAAAGGAGCACAGCCCCTACGGAAAGGGTATGGAGGTTTCTCAAAAAACGAATAGAACTACCACACAGTCCCAGCTGTCTCTGAGTATACAGCCAAAGGGACTAAAACCCATATATCCATGAAACCTGCACTTCCGTGTTTACTGCAGCACTGACCACAAAAGCCACGACTCCACTGGTGAGTGGATCCCAACAGTGTAGTACAGTGGGATAATGTTCAACCTTAAAAATTAAATCCTGTCATTAGCGGCAAGAAGGAAGGAAGGAACTAGAAAACATCATGTTACCTGAAATAGGGCAGTGCAGAAAGGCAAATACCACATCTTCTTATTCGTATGTGTTGGTGTCACAGAAGTGGAGAGCACACACTGCATCCAGATCTTGCATTATCACAGTTTTTGTCATAATTATAGCCATCAGGTGTCAATTATAAAGGAGAGCCCCTAGCCTGGGGAAGAGAAGGCGAGAAAGTAGGATCTCAGCTTAGAAAGACAGGTTTGCTCATGATCACGTGTAAGTTTGGATGTCCACTTAGTGTTTTACATTTTTAAAAAGTGTCACTTTTCTTATATAACTGTTCCATAACTCATATCCCCTAATGGTGAAGGATCAAAAGAATGGTGCAATCCTTACAGCAGGCAAGGAATCCTTACTAAGCTGGCACACAAGCTCTTGTATCTCAGGCAACATCAAGAGTATTCGATTCCAGAAGGCAACCTCCTTGCCTGAAATAGCAGACATGTACATGAACTAGAGTCTTGTACAATTAAAGGCATTTGTTTCCAACTCCTAACTTTTTAAACGTTTCTTCTAAAGTTTTAAGAAACAGAAAATGAGAAGAATCGTGTTGACTATGAGGCACCTTATAGTATGTTCCCCGTCTCCTTTCACTGGAAGTTTATATGCCTTCAACAAGGGGAAGGTCAAAGCATGAATGTCAAGGTGACTACTAGGTAATTGAACCTTGAAAATTGCAGAAGCATGAGGCATTGTGAAATTAAGTTTATGTTGCAGAGATTGATACACAGGTTTTTCCTAGGAATGAAACTGACGGAAATGAGGCTGAATGACTAGATAAAAAGCACGGCCAAGACATGGAGTTTCAGAGAACGGAAAAATGGTTCACTGGAAGAGGTGTAGATTTTGCTTCTCTGAGAGTCACAACGTACTGTCATTGTGGTAGGGTTCTTGAAGTTTTCTCCTTGATCGTTATTGAGCTGTGTGCTAGGTCTTACCATCATGTCTATTTTATATAACAGCTAAGGGAGTTTGTGTTCCTTGTCTAGTGGAACAGATTCTCAACTCTTTCCATGGCATACAAATTTTCTTTGTCGATAGGGGAAAGTAATTTTCTTGCTGGAAAGACATGCACACCCACGTGCTCGGTATCTCCAGGGAAAATACAGATAAATAATGGAAACATACACGTGATGTAAAATATTAAAATGTAAAAAGTGGACACCTAGGAAATGGGGGATTTCCGTGATGTGACCTGACGGGAGGGCCTGGGAAGAATGAAGGTTCAAACTATCTGTCTTGCAGTACAGACTGAGAGAGTATAAAATGTAGGATTCTGATTACAATGTGCAATGTATGTGACTCTCCTGGCGCAATTCCTTCCAAAGGATACTGTATTTCAAGCAAAAAAAAAAAAAAAAAAAAAAACACAC